ATTGTTACAGTGTATTGTGAAGTATACTTGGCTGCTTCCTGATGTTTTAATATATAACGCATGTGCAGGGTGAGTATAAGTAATTTAGTGTCAGTTGCAACTAATACACTGTTTTTAAAACAAGTGTCGCGTGTTTCAACGGATGTACTGTTTTTGGAAATTAAGATGTCGTGTGTTTAAAAAGAAATGTTGCTTTTGGAAACTAATTTAATGTTTTTGTGAAACTAATGTAGTTTTTAGTCTAAGCAAATTTGACGAACATTAACATCACTTAGTGAAAAAAAAACGACATATTGATGTCATTTCTACTGCTGCATAAGAAGACAAAATGGACAATATCAGTTTCATTAGACCAGGAATTATACATTAGCTAGTATTAGGGACAAAACTGAAATGTTAGATATATAAATACAATGACAATAAAAACAACAGAAAACTCCTTATCCAGTGATATTTTACAAAGTAACATAATCATTCCAAAATCTACATGTTTTCTCTAATAAAAAGTCAATTTTTTACAAATAGAACGAGTATGTAGCCCTGAAACAGGAGATCGGAAATGAGCTTAAAAAGTCGAACAAAATCTGGTATTCTAGTAATATGCTTCATAAGTCCACAAAAACTTCAAGGCTAAGAAGAACAAAACAGATAATAATAACTCCAATCGATTCGTATGCACACCATTAGTAAAAGGAACCTAAGAACAGGTTTATAGAGCATTAAAACGATTTAACATAAGAAAAGTTTAAATAATATCCAAAACTCTTAGACATATCCTAGTACACAGAAAGACCACTCTCTCACCTTTGTCAGCAGTGTTGGTCTATGATATATTAGATCGTCAAGAAATTAATGTCGCGTTTTGTTAAACGAACCGCCTAAACGTCACGTGACTTTAGCTTTTAAAAACTGTGATGGCAGAGTCCGACATGTTGGAATAGATAATGATGCTCTGAAGACGCCTGTTGAGTCTACCCCAAGGCAACACACTCGTAAAATGGCCCTAAAGTTGCATATCTCTCATGAAACAATATGTAAACATCAAAGGAATATGGGAAAACTCCATAAAGATGGTGTTTAGGTGCCTCATGAACTCTCCGATTATCATCGTTTCCAACGTGTGAAAGTTGCTTCGTCTCTTCTAGCATGTAATGCGCGTGAACCATTTTTGGACAGAATTGTCACCGGTGATGAAAAATGAATTGTCTATGCAAATATTAAACGCCAAAAACAATGACTCAGTCGTAGACAGAAACCACTTCCGACCCTAAAACCTGGACTCCATCCACAGAAAGTGATGCCTTGCATTTGGTGGGACATCAAAGGAGTAATTCATTTCGAACTCTTCAATCCACAGTGAACTGTCAATATAAAGATCTATAGTCAGCAACTGGAACGTTTAAATCAAGCCCTTCACCAGAAACGCCCTTTACTCGTCAATCGGAAAGGTGTTCTTCTTTTCCACGACAATGCACGTCCACATGTGGCACGTTTGAAGCAACACAAGATTATGTAATTGGGTTTGGAAGTTCTTCCCTACCCACGATATTCTACAGATATGGCACCATCAGATTACCATCTTTTTTTCGTTCGGTGCAACATCATCTTAATGGGAAAAAGTATGCAGATGTAGAAGGTGCTAAAGAGGACATCGACATGTTTTTTGCTTTAAAGACAAGTGATTTCTTTAATCAAGGCATTATCAACCTGACTGTAAGATGGAAAAGCATCATCCATAAGCATGGAGACTATTTCATTTAATAAATGTTTTCTTTTGATATATTAGTTGTTCAGATTTTTTTATCTAAAAAAAGCGACATTAATTTCTTGACGACCTAATACTACTATGAGAGGGAAATACTTCCCAGGAGGGGCATGGCATGGCCAGGTGGTTAGGGCGTTTGACTTCTCCGTCGAATCCCCGTCCCACCAAACATGCTCGCCCTTTCAAACGTGGGTGCGTTATACGGTGACGGTCAATCTCACTATTCGTTTGTAAAAGAGTAGCCCAAGAGTTAGCGGTGGGTGGTGATAACTAGCTGCCTTCTCTCTAGTCTTTTAATACTAAATTAGGGATGGCTAGCGCAGATAGCTCTCGTGTAGCTTTGCGCGAAATTCAAAACAAACCAAAACTACCCAGGTGAAACTCGGAGAAGTGTAACTACTCAAATTAAAGACGTTCTTGTGATAACTTTGTTATGAATATAACCACGAAACACCCCATTCCTTATCTAAATGTATGATACGTAACGTTGAATTCAAGACTGACGTCGGCTGCACTAAGACAGTCGAAACGTCGCTATAACCAAAGTTTTCCCTCTCAGTGCCTTAGTTAGTTTCATACAGTTCAAAGCTAATTTCTATTGACCGTGGTAAAATAGATATCACATCTTCCAATGTATGATCTTAAATTTTGATCTTTTTATGAACATACTTTAAAAGATCTAGGTAAATCAATCAAAAGATGTTTTCCTATTAATTATTTAACACAAATAAATATATCTTACGAATTGGTGTTACGTTATAAATTTATTTTGTATCTGTTTTTCTGTCTCTGACACTCCAGTAACCATGAGTCCTTATGTTTTATAAAAGAAGTCAAACAGTTGGATATGAAACAGCTGATAATGTGAAGTAAATGCCAGTTCTTGGCATTATAGTATACTTAACACACTGGTGTAAGACACTCGTGGTATGATCGAAAATGTATAAAATATATAAATGAATCAAGATGTGACAAAAAATATCTGCAACTAAGTGTGATTTTATTCACTCTTTCCAGGCTACAGAACTCTGATTTCTCCATCAGCTTAATCGTTTTACACCACTGTAACATGAAAGAATTAAATGAGTGTTTTAGGTAACAATATTGTTTGTTTGTTATTGATTTCGCGCAAAGCTACACGAGGGCTATCTGCGCTAGCCGTCCCTAATTTAGCAGTGTAAGACTAGAGGGAAGGCAGCTAGTCATCCCCACCCACCGTCAACTCTTTGGCTACTCTTTTACCAACTAATAGTGGGATTGATCATCACATTATAACGCCCCAACGGCTGAAAGAGCTAGCATGTTTGGTGGGACGAGCCCGCGACCCACAGATTGCGAGGGCCAGGTAACAAGAACCCCAGACCACAAGGTATTTAATAATTTCCGTCCATTATGTACGAGGTCTATAATGTACGACCACTTCAGGTTGGTCTAGAAATATGCAAAGGATACACTATTATTTTCTCGTCATTTTCATCCAAGTATCATCTGATAGATTTATACAGATGAAGAAAATCAAAGGAAGAACATCAAAGAAACTGTTGCTATACACAACAAAAAGTCGTAAGTTGTGACAAAAGCCAACAATTAGAGCGACGTAGAAATACAACATATTCAAACTCGTCGAGCTTCAAGTGAGTCTGGAACATGGTTAGAATCGTTTTGATAAAGTCTTAACGAAAAATGATGGATGTTATTTGTATCGTTATTTCGTAACTTATCTTTAAATGATTTCAGAAGAAACACGCTTCTACTATTCATTGAGTTTCGAAAGCTTACTCTATGATAGTAGAAAAAGTGCCATAAAAGTATGTAGAGAAAAAAACACACCATTAATACCATTCTCACATTTGTTTATAATTAATTCGGTCAAGAAAACGTTGTAATTTTCAATGCGCTTTAGGTGTTCTTAATACCATAGAATATTCCATAGCTAATAGATTTAGTAATCACAAAATTGCTAGCATCTTCAGTTAAAAAGTGGGAATATTAGCAAAACAATTTTATCAAAAGTTGGGTTTATCGGTTTATCTTCTTATGGTTTTTACAATATGTTTTAGATTTTAACACTTTGACTGACCCGTGCTTTGCTCTCATGAATATTTTATATTAATTGTACGTAAAATAACATTAACTCGTACAAAAAATATACTTATCCTAATGGGAACACTGTCTCTACCATCAAACATGCCCCCCCCCCAGTGGCACAGTTGTATGCCTGTGGACTTACAACGCTAAAATCCGGGTTTCGATACTCGTGGTGGGCAGAACACAGATAGCCCATTGTGTAGCTTTGTGTTTAATTACAAACAAACAAACCATCAAACATTTGATCTTGTTTTCTGGTTAACAAATACACTGACTACATCATGGAAGGAAGTCCCTTTATTTTCTTCATATACTTCCTCTATTATAGGTATGTTAATAATGTAACAAATCAGGAAATTTATCAGTCACAAACGAATCCGTTAAATAGCTAAGTATTTTTCTTAATAGATCTATAAGATCTAGTGTGACGTTAAATAATTACGTTTCGATTATTAACAGATTCTGTCATATGATTTCAGTATCCGTCCCGAAATATTAATTCCACTAAGGGATATTTAGTAGCAGATTACCTTGATATTCGTTAAATCTCTAATTACAGACTTATTTGTTAACGGCTCTGTAACAGTTAAGTTGACATATTGGATCATATTAAATAATTTGATATCTTTGATTGTAACATTAATGGTATTTTTGTTTGTGTAATTCATATTTTATTAGGAACTCTCTAACCAAACAAACAATGTAGTGCATTAATTGTTCAGAAAAATTAACTAAAATAAATCCTGTGGTGTATGGATTCCGTTCGAAATTCCAGTTTAATAAAATATACAAATGTGATTATTAATGTGATTATTAATTGTTCAGAAAAATTAACTAAAATAAATCCTGTGGTGTATGGATTCCGTTCGAAATTCCAGAGTAAAATAAGCAAATGTGATTATAGCAACTACTGTCAAATCGATAGAGAACGAGTCTTGAAATAGCATATCCATAACATATCTTTAGAGCCTACTGTCGAAGTGTTATAGTAAGTATGTTTTGTGAAATATCCATATTTACACTCGACCTTTAGTAATTATGAATTGTGATGAAAAAACATGTTTAATAATTTGTTTTTTGTATCTACTGACAATAATTACAATAAGTAAAAATCGTGAAATAATCTTGTTTTTTTACAGGCTGATGTAGAATTATCACATTTTTATTTTTTACCTCATATAATTTTTAAAAAGCCATTTCTTAGTGTTTAGAACAAGTTCTGAAAGTGAAGAAATTGTGTCGATGTCGGCAGATATTTATCGCATTTCAAGAAATTTCACAGCTTTCATAAATATTTCATTTTTTGGTTGCTGCTCCAAGTGGTGCCTAGATCGTAAGAAATTCAAATGTTTAAAAACGTAAAGTAATTAAATTAAGTAACATTTAAGAAAAGAACTCAAATTTGTATCACTTGCGTGTTAATTGACAAGAAACACAAAGAACTCATCAGTATTGTCGAAAGTGTAATTTATAAAATCGTGTTATAAATTGTTGATAGTTCTATCTATATTTTTCAAACAAGATTTTCTTTTTCCGTCAGTAAAATTGTCAGATGACTACAAAGTAAAATATTTTTTAGGCTACAGATGACAATGAAACCTCATTTGGATTAGAAAACCCCGTTGGGGGATACAGAGGTAAGCTTGGTAGCTTTAATGGTAAAATACAGGGTTTGATCCGTGAGGTTAGCACTGTACAGATAGCACACTGTGCAACTACACAATTTAAGAACGAAAACAAACAAACTAATTCGAATTTAAACCTTTCAGTTCTGGTGATTCACCTTGACCCAGATATATTTTCTGGCAGGGGATCAATAAGATTTACTAAAAATCCAGTTGCTTATAACAAAATTTAAACCGAACTTTTGTATGGCTGAATTTGTACTTTAAACCCTATAGCAAGAAGGAAATAAAATTCAGTAAACGTCTAATCACACACATAATAGGGTAAATGTAAAAAAAATGTATGATTTTCTCAATAATTTCGACACTTAAGAGCTATCTTAGTGTTTATTACATTATTCTCTTCTGTAGCTATACTTATTGTGGTACTGAAGAAAAATTCTAGCTGGAAGGGAGGCGTACAACAGATTGTTGCTGAAACGCTGTGTTACGTTGTTCTTACTGAAAACTGACAGTGGGTTGCTAATTTTAGTTATGTCCCAATTAAACTCCGCCTCTGGGTAAGAAACTAAATTGTTTGCTTGTTATTAGAACCAGTGTAGTGACTACTGGTAGAACGTTGTAACTTGGACAAAATGGATAATATACCAAGTAAAGTAAAAATTATAAATCACAAATATGTAGTTGTTCGAATAAAGCAGATTTAACAAGACGACACAAACATTATACACCAGAATTATGATGTACTGTTTAGGTAATTAGTGAAAGTGATGGTACAAACTTATCGGTTTCATAATTTTACAGCCCTCCAGTGGCACAGCCGTATGTCTACGGACTTACAACGCTAGAATCCGGGTTTCGATACCCGTGGAGGGCAGAGCACAGATAGCCCATTGTGTAGCTTTGTGCTTAATTACAAACAAACATAAATTTACAAAACAAATATCACCCTAGCGTCGTCTTGACTTATTATGCTACACGATAAAAGGCACAGCATGAAAGTTCTAGTGAAACAACGTTGAACACATTACCTATACATATATAATAAAGTCTTCGTGATGGTTATGTTAAAGAAATTCTGATCGAATACCTCATCTATGTGGTGGTAGGTCAATAACTGACCTCAATCAATGATACTCATTTACCACAACGTTCCTTCCCAAGTAGATAAACCTTTTAGGATAATATAGTGTCGGCCCCCCGGTGGCACAGTTGTATGTCTGCGGACATATACTGCTAGAAACCTGGTTTTGATACCCGTGGTGGACAGAGCACAGATAGCCCTTTGTGTAGCTTTGTGCTTAATAATAAACAAACAAACAATAAAGTGTCGGAAAACTTTAACATTACCATAAAACAAACGGTATAATTATTCACTACGCTATTTACCAAACTGTGGAAAGATTGTATAACATATAAACAGTTCTTATGCTGTAGTTATTTTTAATTTTAGACGTTGAATTGAAAAAATGAAAATATTTTTTTTTCTTCTTACCGAATCTCACTGCTCATCACGTATTTTATGACTGGTGGATTAAAACCATTAAAAGACGTAAATAGAGGAATGCTGTAGGCGCCCATGTTGTCGAAGTATATCCACTCTCCTTCTTTGACGTCCGCCAAGTGAAGCTGATCAAATATAATGTCTTCAGAATCGCACGTCGGGCCCCATAGTTTGGTTAATTTTAGTTTGGTTCGATGAGACTTCTGTTCAAAATTTTTAGATATTTCATGATACAAATATTAATAATAATAATTAATACTATATTACTGATATACTTGCTACTCTAGATAAAGGTTAACTACTTTTTATTAATTGAAAGTTACTGTTGACTATTATTAACGCTTTATCAAGCACTCGTTGAGTGCCTAGAGATGAATTTTTCACGATAAAATAAAGGTGTCTAATATTGTTTGTTTGTTATGGATTTCGCGCAAAGCT